GGTCGATACGACGTCGTCCTTATGGTATCTGGCGGCATTGGCGTGACCCCGATGCTGAGCCTTGTCAACCAGTCTCGGCACGTCGATCTCAAAGTCGGGAGCAAGCTGCATTTATTTTGGAGTGTGCGCGAGGCGAGCGAACTCTTGTGCGCCGATCGCCTCATGTTTCCGTTGCCCGAGTCGCTGCACCACCGCTTCTACGTGACCAAGGCCAGCGACGAAGGTCAAGTCATGAGCGAGTCGTCGGGCCCGGTCGCGTACTACCCTGGACGCATGCTGCTCGATGAGATTGTCAACAACATCGCGTACGTTGGCAAAGCAGTGTGCGTCCTTGCGTGTGGGCCGCCGGGCCTTGTCGCTGACACACAGCGCCATGCGCGCCAGTGCGGCTTTGACTTTCACAAGGAAGAGTTTTTGTTTTAACGAGACATATCGTTTGTATAACTTGAGCATGGTTGACAACTTTGGACATACCATGGGATTGGAGGATATAATCTGGCACGCCGTGGACGTGCAATGCAAGGGAGCAACAACGTATTTGCAGCGTGTTTTACTTGTGAAAGCGGTGGGTTTGGACTAATGACATGTACTCAAGTATTACGAGCTGAAGTGAATCAGGGGACGTGGGCCGCTCGAGTTTGCAGAGTTCTTGGACGACGACGTTCTTTTCGGGAAAAAGACAGGGCGCGATGGCAAGCCCTCGTTTCGGGAAGGTGGCCACGGCCGGGCAGCACTCGCACTGGCGTGCACGCATTTATCGTTATTGCTGTCGACCCCTGTCAGAGTTCAGTACCATAAACGGCATCGTGAACGCGACGAACCGGGAACAGCAGCAGCCACTATCGATACTACCGCCTCGGTAAGACATCGTTACCGGTAAAGATCGCGTCGTTCGCTGCACCGCTTCAGCAGTCTGTCGCGACTCCAGTGCAGATAATTGATCTAGAATTGATCGGCAGTCGGCATTTAGCAAGCCTACTACTTGCACCTTCGTCACTGGTGGTGTGTACACGCGGGACTCGTGCTCCTGCGCGAGATGTTGCGCTGCGTCTCTTGAGACCCAATCTTTGGAAGAGATACGAGTCGTTAATTAGTATAGGTTGACGTCACAAGTATGTGTACGGTGGGCATTCAGGTAGAATCAACCTACTTCTGAGCTTTCGACCACACTTCAAAGGCGAGCCTACAGAGGTGGCGTGAGACCCGAAGTGCTGATAGAACAATGTGTCGTACTGGACACCGTTGTCTTCGTCTTCAACGCGCGACTCGCACACGGAAAAATGCTTGTCCCACTCGGGAAAGAGGGTGTCGCCGTCGTATTCGGCATCGATACGCGTGATGTAGAGCTTATCGGCCGTGGCCAGTGCCTCGGTATAGATGCGCTGGCCGCCGAGAATCCAGACCTCGTTCACGCCCTGGTTGCGCGCAATATCGAGCGCCTCCTCGTAGCTGCTCGCGAGGTTCGTATGTGGCGGCGTTTTGCCGGCCTCGATGAGCGTCCGAGAGACGACGATGGCGGGAAAGGCGGGGCCGGCCGCAAACTCATCGAAGCACGTCTTGCCCATGATCGAGACGTGACCCTTGACCGTGTCGAGAAAGTAGTTCCAGTCTTTGGGCAGCGACCACGGCAGCGTCCCATTGCGGCCGATGACGCGGTTCCGGGGGACAGCGGCGATGATATTGATCTGCATATTGCCAAGGGCTATTGACCCGTGGTGGTGCGAAGCGAAAATGATGACACGCGAAGTCTGCGGATCGTACTACAATACCCTATATTTTATGCGTTTTACAAAACCCAAGTACGATGCGCGTATTTTATTATCAATTGGATTTCAGCTTACGTGATTGGTTAAAATCGAAACTGCAAATTGAAGCAACACGCATACAAATATCAAGTCATGTAACATATCAGTGCGACGACGGCGTCAGCCGAGTTGGTCGATCCGCGAAGTCCAATCCGATGAATCCTTCTCGGTAGTCCAGTGAAGCTTCTGATGTACCGGCAAAAACTAACTAGAGTCCGAAAGAGAGTGCTTGGCAGGCAATCTCATCAGTGCGTCCGTGATGTAGTTGTGCGGCAGGGTGATCGAGACAAAACCCACTGAAATTTAAACGAGTTGGTATCTCAATCGCCCATCTTTCAAGTCATTTTGCGTGATGTACTCTACCTCTATAAACAGCACTCTGGTATTAACGCCAATGTCGCGCGATGTGCCAAGGCAAATCGCCTCGCAAGCGCACAAATGACATCACAAGTCGGTGGGGACGTTGGGCGCTTCAAGCTGCGCGGTTTCAGCCACCAAGCTCGTTTCAGTCGAGGAAACGCTGGAATGGCGGGCGAAACACCCCTCGTGAGCGCCCGTGCGTACGAAGCAACACGAGACGCGGTGCTAAAGCTCAAGCAGCAGCGCTGCGTCGAGGAAAAACCAAGTGCAGCGCATGCAACACCGTATGCGACGACCGAGCGGCGCATGGCGCAAGCGA